TGCTAGTTCTGATACCTGTTAATCTATGAAGTAAGTTTAAAATTAGAAAATCCTTTCATAAGGTCTAGTATGGTCTGTCTCTGCAGTGCTAAAGCCCTAAATAAAGCAAGTCTAGATTTCCTCAGGTTCAGGATCCCTGGTCTCCCTGGGCTCCTTTTCAATTTAAATGGGCTTGTTTGTTACTATCAAAATTGTATATATTCAGAGACTAAGCATTAGTCTAGGTCTAGTAGAAAGATATCATTCTGTCACTGGCAGACTGAAGGGCTCATCGGCAAAGTTATTTATTCTTTCTTGTGTAGTCTTTTACATCATTTATCAATATTTCAGGTATAAGAGATCTGGAGAAAAAGAATGAATTTATCTTAGAACCTTGTCTTATCCATGTTAATTGGATGCACAACCACTACCCTATCCTAATAATTCGCAATATTTTTGCAATCCATGTAACGTTTCCAACCACTGAGTAAAAGTTATTTAATTTGTCAAATGTATTCAAGCATGATATTCAGAGGCATGATCCACTGATTCTGTGGTACTTTGAATAAACACGATAAGGCTCACAGCGCTGTGTCGATGATGTGAAAAAACAAAAGACATCAGACCACATTTAATGCTTGAAAGGAGGGGAAAATTCCTACTTGTCAAGCCAACTGTGGGTTTGCTTTTTTTGTAGGAGAGTGAGTCATCTGGTTGGAACACCAGCTTCTCTTTCCATAACCTAGCTTCCCTGATGATAGGCCGGACTCCAGACAGTCACTTCATGACCACCCACTTTTTTCAGAAGCCACCAATTCATGGCGGATCCATGCAAGCCCAACTTCTCTATACTTGTATCATTATGATAATGGTGTGATGCTTGGGGATAGGTTTTTTCAGTCCTCCTGCTGAAGATCTATTGATCGATACTGGGGCGAACATGGAACTATTTTCAGAGCACTGGCCCGTATCAAGGCACGATTCCGGGATTGGTAAGGTGGAGGATAAGTTCTTGCAAAGCTTACCGTCACTTTGCCTGCTCATTGTTTGATGAATAATTGACAGGAACTGCACAAGAGCATTTGTGGCAAGTCCCTCATAGGCGGTGTTGTCGTCTTTTGCCAACAGCGCTGTTGTAGCTTGCCTCTTGCGTTGCTTTTATATGTGTGTCAACTGATGACATTTCCACTTGACTGACCGTTTCTGTCACAGTGTTGTTAAGTGCACACATTCAATTTTTATCATGACTTTTATTTCATGGATGCAAATTTGACAGTCATGAACGAACACTAAGTTCCTGATAAGTGGGTTTTATTGTAGTCATACAAGAATTAATATCCAAAGGCATTGTCATTAACTTAAAAATTCATTGTCTGTTTAGTCAGAAAATCAAAGCCATTATGGCATCATAGACTTGTAATGAAAATAAATAAATTCCAAGAGCTTTTTGAAATGAGTTTGAATTTGCTCCAGATATGTTATTCTACCTTATAATGATAATGCTTTTGATGCAATGATGAAATATTCCAGGTTTTTATATTTAACTGTCATCAAGATATGCTTTTATCGGCAGTTTTCCATGGTGAAGTTACTATTGTCTTAACAGTTATCTCTCCAATTATGCCCTATTAGCAGTGTTTATCTGTGCTAAAGTCTGTTGCCTAGCAACTCAAAAGAAAATTAAATTCCAAAATCAATCGTAAGTTCTGCAATTGTGCCATGATCTGAGCTTGTCAGCAGTGACAACAATAATTGCCGCCATTTTGCAGAAGGAGTTTTACAAATGAATATCCTCAATGAATCTCATTCTGGAATATTTGTTGAAGACCAACTGGGGAGAAGTCATTATTCCATACAATTCAAATTGGGATGAATGCTTAGTCATCAGAATTTCTAAAAGACAATCGGCCACTCCCTTGTGTACTCTTCTGACTGTTGAATGCTGTAGAACTTGTTGCTGTATAATGTCTTTTTTATCAATCCTGACATTATCAGATTTTGTTTTCTGTGTGATTGTTCTTTCATGTTTTTGGCTGTGAAATTCAAACTAACAAAAAAAATGTTTCACAGCTTGTCATTTGTGGCATGTATACATCTTTTGATATTTGCTGTTGTATATTCATTTTATTCCAACCATTGCCACTTTAGTAGACATTTTATTGATATCGGCCCCTCATAAACTGTCCAGACAACATGAAGCTAACGTACCGGCGCCAAAATGGTACATGATCTATTAAGAGAGGACTCTCATTTACAACAACAAGCAGTCAATATGATAAAGTGATTACATCAAATTAGAATGCATGGGAGGGTGATTAAACAGTTGTTTCATATAGGTGAGAGGAGGTTAGGGCCAACATAAAACGGAGCTGTAGGAATCGGGAGGCAGGGTTAACCAGGCAGATGATGGAGCGTGGTAACAGGCCTACCAAAGAAAACTCTCCCACTGTGCAGAAAAACGCAGAAAAGCCCACATTAATCGTGGAAATAGCAACATAAACACATTACCTCGCTACTGAAACAGTAAAAACGGCAACGAAAAACCATGAAACTGCAACATTTTTATATCAGCGAACTTTGACCTCTAATGCGCATGCGCGGTACGATCCTCGCTTCTTTCAAAGATGGCGGACTCCGGAATATCTTATGCGGTTGGTGAGTAAAAGTTTAAACTATGACTTTATTTTCATTGCAAATGAATAGTTGTGAATTGGAAGATATAGTTTTCAGTGTGACCTTCTCGTAAACCAATTTGTTTTGACGTTTTAGTCTTAAAAACCATAGATATCTTACGGTAAATTTTGTACCGTGAATTTCGCTATAGTCTGTATCGACAATGTAGTAGTAGCATTCACTCAGCCTCGTGGATGGAAGAGGTAGGGACGCAGCTTTCAATATGAAATACGCATTACACATTAATAATATCTAGTTACAAAGTTTGGCAACGAATCGGGCTTAAACGAATAAAAACCGACTTGCTACCCGCCTGTATCGGCTATTCGGAAAAGTATTTTTATGTAAGCAAACGTCTTTCTATTTCTCTTATTAATGTCAAAAAAATATTGCTCTGTGAAGAAAGCATTTAAATCTTACTTTTGATATTTATTTATTAGATCTACATCTCATTTTAAGTCACTTAATTATCTACTTGCCAACATGTTTGTAAAATCAAGAACCTGTATTTTGCTGCCAATTATTCATTAGAATATTTTCTTTTCAGCAAAGCTTGTCAATTCCATGTATGCTGACCATGATGGTGATGACTGCACAGACCTGGATGTCATTCCAGAAACACAAGAGGATAGTGATATTCCAGGCCTTGTGTGTGTGGAATGCAAGAAAGTGTTTTCTACCAAAATGGGAATGAAACTTCACATGAGACAACATGACAAGTCCTACCCGTTTAAGTGCTCCATGTGTGATAGAGGATTTCATACCAAGATGCGCCTGCAGGAACACTTGGCTCGGCACCTAAAGGCTCCCTTTGCCGTATGTAATATATGCAGTAAAGGGCTGTCATCGCAAAACAGTGTGAGAGCACACAATGCTCTTCATGCTGCACCAAGCCACAAGTGCTCAGACTGTGGAAAATTGTTCCACACACTGGCCTCCCTTAAGAAGCATGCTGCATCGCATGGGGAGAAATCTTCACAATGTGAGATATGCCGAAAAAACTTCCACCAAGATCAGCTGAACAGACATTATCGGGAAACCCATGGTGATAAAGACAAAAAGTGTGACCTGTGTGACTTCAGTACCACAAGGAGTGCGGACCTCACTCGGCACATGAAAACTCATGACTCTGTTAATGTGGAAATGTGTCCATCGTGTGGAAAATCTTTCAAGTATTCAACATCCTTTAAACGCCATGCAAAGATCTGTAAAGGCAAATCTTCCACATTTGAAAACATGACACTATTGGACACAAGTCACTTGATATGAGAAAATTATGTGCTTTTTTCAATTGAAACAAAGTACCATGTGTTGTATTTCATAGTTCACCTTTTTTTACCATTCCTTACTCATTTTGTATTCCATACTTATTTAACTGTGATGTAACTGCACTTGTGAAATCAAAATATGTGATGTTTAGGTTGTGATAGAATTAGACTATGTTCCTTTCAATGTTGTGAAGTTCCACATCTTTGTTGTACTTGTAGCAAAAAGTAATTAATAATTTGTAATCAGTGTTCATAAATTTTATTCATAATTGTATTTTGCATGCTCAAGAATGATGTGCAATATTATCCTTTTTGGTAAAGATGAGAGATGCTAGATTTGACATTTTTTTACATATCATGTGATGTAGCATAGTATTCAATGTTTGTTTTTTATTTACATTTCCTCATTCAATATATTTTCCATGCATATAATTTAAACATTTTGATGGTAAATGCTCAACATCCATCAAAATATTTGCCTTGTGTAGTAGATAGTTAGTTTTGATTTATACATGAACATTCTTTAGTGTCCTTGGGATTGTGTAAGCTTTCACATCCACTTAATTGCTGCAGTAATAGCAATTAGTCCATTTTTTGACATTCCACAATCAGTGTGATTTCCATGCATGTAACTGTTCAGTGAGTGAGTTTTCTTTTTATGCCACACTCAACAATATTCCGGCTATATGGTGGCAGTCTGTAAATAATCAAGTCTGGACCAGACAATCCAGCAATCAACATGTAATATGTAACTGTTCAAGTGAAGTTGACATATATGGGACTGTGTCTAGAAATATTTCTCAAAATGAACATCAAACACATCTTCAGTCAATAAGAAAACAATTTATTCATGTAATGAATTTAATCATGAATTAACATAAGTTTCACATAAAATTATTTTGTTGAAAATGTATGGATTTCTTTCTTTTTTTATACACTTCACAGTCGATACATATAATGAGGCGTTTTGAGCCTTGCATGATGAAGAAGAAGTTCTCTAGATAATCTGCTTGTATCATGTCATACTTGCTTAATAACTACATGAGCATCTGCACCAAATTGAATAATTCAAATGCCCGTATTTTTTTCTACTCTATCCAGAATTAGTAAGATCTCTCTTTAAACAAATCAATCAATACAGTTCTTTCGTTTTCCCAGTCGAATGAGAGGGTCAATTCTGGACTCATCCACCTTGTGATGAGAGCGGACTCCTGACACGCCTCTAGCAGGTTCGTGCAGTCCAGACAGTCCTCGCGGGTTGTGCCGGGCTGTCCTCTTTCGAGCCTTAGTGTCGAATGGGTGATTCTGTGGGCAAAAAGAGAAAGATAATAAATACTCCAAAACATAAACTTTTAAACATATTTGTAACATTTTCTTTAAAAATGAAATGCCAATGAAAAGTCTGAATGAGTGTGCTACCAAATCTTGCACTTGACTCTTGTATGAAACCATTTGTACTTAAATCAACATGAGATGTGACTATGATATCTCTCAGGAAATTATGAAAATTAGATTGTAAATAATAATGTCTCAAGGTTTATTAAAGTCACAACTACACCTCTTAGTCAATACTCGTTATGAATAACAATTCTCTTAACAGAAGCTGTTGGAGATATGCTTTGTACAAGGTTTCTTGACAACAATACAAATTATTTTGCATAGAGTATGCAAAATTAGGACACAGCTAAGTGGGGGAATAAAACATACTTCCATACAGAATTTTGGACATTGTCTTTTTTTACCTGGAGTACAATTGAGTGTAAGTAAGATGGAGGATCCACAGGAGGCAGCAAAGGTTGTTCACTCTCTGTCAATGTTGACTGTGGATACACCGGAGCTGATGACAGTCTCAGTGGGAAGCCTCTGGAGAAAATATAATACCTGATAAAGTTAGCCCAGTTGTGCATTATCAAGTGACCAGTTTGAAAGATTTTTAAAAATTTGTTTGAGTTCCTACAAGGTAGGACAATTACTGACAATAACTCCTTTTCAATAAGATTATAAGTAATATTTTGTGTTTTCTCAACTTAAAACACAGCACTGTCAATAATGATATGCACACCTATTAGGGTCAAGCCTGACCAAACTTTCTCCACACAGTTTCGCCATATTTGACTCCAGACCGACACATGTGGGGACACCATTCTGAGAGCCTGGCAGTGCAGCCAACGAGGAATAGAGGGCCTCACAATTCTGGCTGCTGACTGCTCTACTGTTGTAAGATCTGCGCTTTGTGAGTCCATATAGGAGGACATCAGCTTCAATACTTGCAACAGTAGCCTCCCAGAGCTGCTTGGGATATCCTCTGATATACATTCCTGGTGGTGGAAATGTATTGAGATCCACCAAGGACAACAGGTAGTTCCTGTATCTGAAAACAAATAGGAAAGCTATGTTTATAACTCTTTTCACACTTGAAAAATCATTCACATTACATATTACTGAAAAGAAAATCATTGATGGGTTTTTACACTTTATACTAACATTTTACTTGAGTGACAAGGTCATTGTTGCGAAATTACATTTTACTGTTCCAGTAGCAAGGTAATATGGATTGAGGGGAAAATCTGTCCTCCTCAACATTTGTAGGGAACATGATGACAAAAATGCATATGTATACTCCCAGGAAATTCATGCATACCTCCATTTCTGTTGACACCTCAAAACTGCATCAATGCCTGGTTCATCACATGAATGGAACCACTCTCTTACCTGAAGAAAAAATAATTAACTAAATTAACTATCTGAGTGAAAATGTAAGTCATCATAAACTTTGTTCCACATCATACATCACTAAATGCACTGTGAGTCTAATGGCAATGCTGTGTTCAGAGATGTTCATTTTTCATTGAAAAGTAATTAAGAATAATTTTTTATGATAAATAGATTCCCACCCTTGTGTATTCAGTTATCAAATATATCAACACACACGAGCAGCGTAGATTTGTATTGAGATATATTTTTTTAATTTAAATCATTATCACAATATTGAAAAAGGTATGAAAATATTTTCCTTCAGAGGTGTCAAAATTATCTTAGAGCATATGTCAATACTATCAGAGGTAGTTTAAGAGACTAAAAAATTCTAAGGAAGATAGTTACCATTTTGCACAGTTCAGCAGACTGGTTGCTTCCATTCAGGCTCAGCTGCTGTTCAACTTCCCCGGAGAATGTGATGAGGGAGTAGTCAGTAGACTGCATATTGAGACGATCCTCCAGCATACCTGGTTTAAGCTGACTGTGTCCACTTTCAGCTACACTCATGAATTCAGCCCGTTTGGCAAATCCTATATCTCTTTTGCATAATGCAGATCTGTGCCTTGTCAGAAGGTGATGAGGATCTATTTTCTTTATTTCCAGCTGTTGTCTCTTGGTAGACCACTCAGGTACATAGAACCAATAAATATTATCTTGTAGTCCTTTGACATCCATGTTATGGTCAATTCCCGATTGCTTTCTCCAATCATCAACATGGGATGGGAACTTCCAATTAGCATAGGCAATGTTGAGGGCAACTTTTGGATAATGCTTGCTTTGCAAACATCTAGAACTGAGAGTTTTCAAGGTGACTGGATTTCTTTTCCTGATCTTTGGTTCCGGCAAACAACCCGTTAGATTGAGTATTTGACATACTTCTCTCGTCAAAGTTGCCTTTGAGCCGGATACTTTAACAGTTAGGTGTTTATAATCCCTGAGAAACTTAAGCACAGTATTTAGTTCCTTTGCGCTGAGCTTAGCAACGGTATCACAAGAGTTCAACCTTTCAGCAACCTTCACACTGGAAACGTTCGACCACACCTTTGAAACGGCAGACAACTCCTGATGCAGATTTTCAATGTCACTTTCTGTTAGTTTCAAGGAAATCTCGGATACTGTATCACACATACTCTCGTGTGTTCTTTCTTCCTCTTCTTGACCTCCTATTCCCATTGGATGTACTTCACTGATTTCGCCCTGATCCTCCATGCATATATCTTCTGCAACATCCAACAACTCATGGCAGTTGTTATTCTCTATCACAAGCTCAGCAGGAACATCTTGAATATCTTGGGCAATGTCTCGCTCCAAAACTTTTGTTTCACTTGACAACAGGTTCTTCTCCTGGCGATATTCTGTCAGAAATCTCAATGCTGTTGCTGGCAGGCGAGAGAGTTCACTTGTCACTAATTTCTTTCCATCTGGAGTGATCTCAATCTTGACAGTATTGACATTGCAGGATTTAATCTCATTGAGTATTTGGACCTTTGTTTTCTTTGTCACACTATGCCAGAACTGTTTCTGGAGCTCCATCAAAGTAAGTGGTTGACCTTCTCTTGACTGTTGAAGAAGTTTCATAAACTGACCATCGAAGCAAGTTATAGGAATATGAAGGCGTTTGGCATGACAATAAGTCAGAAAGTCTTCAAGAATATCTCCAACAATGTGTACTGGCAAGCTGTAGCCACGAAGAAAGTACCCTACAGGTACACCATGAATCTGGTCTTTAGACCATAGTCTGTCAAGATCCCCAGCAACAAATGTTACCACTTCAGTTGCTTTTTGTCTGGTGGCTTGATACTGTTTTCGTGTAAGGGAAAGTGCATCCTCAGATACATCAATGATACAGGTCTTGAGGTCATGGAAAGAGGAATGTATCAAAGCATTTCCTGTCAGTGTCTCTGTCACGTTGTCATCACAAGAATGTAGAGACTTGAACTCGCAAAGGACCTGAGCATTCCGATGTATACCTTCCTTTATTTTTGCCTTCAAGTTCTTACTTTCTGATGTCAAACGTGAAGGACATTTCTTCACATGTTTCCCAAAAGTTGAGGAGAGAATGTTCAGCGCTAAATTCCACACTGCATCATCCCTTTTGACAACAAAAACTCTTGTACTTTGCTCTGTCCATGAAACAAAATGACAAGTAGCCACATTCAAAGCCACCATTTCTGCTTGGATCTGCAGATAGTACCTGTCAGGGACTTGTTGGTGTAGTCCAGCACTGAAGGGACACTTTATTTCTATTGCTGCCACCTCACTAGAACATCCTGGTTTGTACAATAACCCATCTGGTGAAATGATTAGATCTAGAGAAGCAGTCTCATAATGGATGCCTCCTGTTTCCTTCACAATACAGTCAGGAAAGAAACATGGTACAACTTTGGAGCAATATGTTGCAAGAGCACATACCTCATGCTTCTTTCCATGATTCATGGCTGCTATTGTGGTGTCACTGAAGGTTTTCTTTACCTTGCCCTTTTTTTCGTGGAAGTATAATTTCTGGGCGCTTAGTCCAGCACACCCAACTGCATCCCAGAGGCGGCTCCCTGTGGCAGATGCCTTTTCTCGAGCGTTAAACCAGGCTTCAGTCCCTTGCTTTGGTTCAATGGCATTGTGTTCCAAGGGTATAAACTTGCAGCTAGAAATCAACAGATGATTTGTCTGAGGCCAGGTGTTCTGATGAAGAATGGCACATTTTTCACCCAGGGTTTCCCTGCATCGATTGTTCCTCTTCCTGATGTCTTCTAGTTCGAGCAAAAGGGCTGTAAGCATGCTTATAGCATAAGCATATTTTGACTGGACAAAATTATCACCGCCTCTTTGTTTAAGCTTTTCCACAGAATACCGTTTTTTCGCAATCAATTGCTCCAGACTGTTTTTTTTTTCAGAGAGAAGGGTGATGACAGCCATCATACTCTTTGAAATATGGTCACAATCGCCAAGATTTGCCACTTGAGTCAACACAGATTCCATTAAATCCCTGATCTTCTGCAGGTCTGTGTCATGCTGCTGGTGCCTTTTGTCCACAGTGAGCCCATCAGTTTCCTTACCAAGAAGGTTGATGTCTCCCTTCCAGTCCTTCAGACCTGGTGCAAGCTTTTTTCCATCAAACGCAAGGCAAATGCTTGTCTGTGAATGCTTTATTTCAAATCTGTTCACAACTTCTTCACAAATGCCTGGAGGAATTTTTCTTGGCCAGTTTCCATTGTACGGATCATGCTGTTTCAAGACATCTTCAGATGGAATTGAAAGAATCAGATTTGCATCTGAACCTGACAAATATCCGGGCTCAGCCTGACCAGAGAGCAATGATCCGATCATTTTCCATCCTGTTAAGGCACGAATAGCTGCACCGCCAAATTTTTCCATAAAAAATTTCCAAAATGTTTTGGACTTTTGAGAAAATCTAATGGAAGTTAAGGAATCAGATCCAATGGCCTTGATAGTGTCCCAAAATAACTCAAATGTTATTCCATGGAGATCCATTTTGTCATTAGCAATAATCCTTGTTAGTTCAAAAATAACATTTGGCTTGCTTTCATTTGACATTTTTGATGATGCTAATTTGTACAAGTCCAGGAATTCTTTATCATCTTGACTGATAACACCACAGTCAGTACTCTTCGCTTTACCACATATGTGGCATATATCACCAAACTCCAATTCACTGTGTGAGTGTTGGGACAGGATACTATCCCCTGGAAGCTTTCCACACCCTGTACATAATGTGTCAAAATGGTGACTATTATCACACTCAATAGATTGATTGAAACTAGAGTCCCAATTTTCACAGTCATCACAAAGCTCATGTGTCTTACTGCAATTGTGTTGCAATGGTGATGCAAGGCTGTTTAGCAAGTGGCCAGAGAAATCTCTTTTTGATGGTGTACTATGGAATATGGGTTTGCATATTTTCTTCTTGGAAGGAGGTCCGGTGTCAACCAGTTCACCCATCTGAAAGCGAAGAATATTCTTATGAGAAAAAGCAAAAATTCATTGTAAGTTCACATTGATAATCACTACAAAGTATAGACTCTTTAAAATTGTTTGGTTTGGAACACTATACATTGATAGGTTATTGAATCATATTATCTTATCTGCCAAAATATATTTCCAATTATGTGTGAGTACACAACAAACTCCAAAACTTTTTGAGTTGTCTGGAGAGAAATTTTCAGTGTATAACAGTTCATTGCAATTAAAAGTAACAGTCTTTAGAATCATGTAAGAAATGGCTATCTATATTCTCTACTCAACAATAAACCTAGCGTCACTATTGGTATGTATTCTTGAATAAATTTAGCATTATACAAGCTAAGTCATAAAA